GTGGGGTGGGGTGGGGTGGGCTGAAGGCAACATCTCGGGGCGGGGCTGAAAGGGGGGTTGCTGCGGCAGGTCCCCGCCACGGTTCGGGTCCTGTGGGGAGAGGCCATTGGGCCGGGGAGAGGCGGGAGAATCCAGGCGCTGCAGGTGGGCCTCGCTTGGCACTTGGGAGGCACGGGGAGGCTGACCGACTTCGCAAATGGATCTGGGCGCACAGGACCCCTCCCCACATCCCTCCTGCAGGCTAAAGCCCCTCGTTGCTCTCAAAGTCTGGGGGGGGCGGCTTTGAGGTCCGTATGGCAGGCAATAGGCAGCACTTATCCAGAGGGCGCTCGGAATCCAACCTCGGAGCTGCCATCTCTACAGACACCCCCCAACAGGCTTCGGGGTCCCTTCGTGACCTGCTGGCTGCGTCCTCCCACTTCCTGAGCTTGCTTGGCTTCAGTGTCGGTCGCTAATGCCACACACTGATTTGATTCCTGCGAATGGTTTAATTCAGCAACCAAGCAAAGCTTGGGGGTGAACCCAGCCACTCCCCACTCGGACTCAGACTTTCTGAGACTGACTCAGAGAGAGGCCCCCGGACGCAAGAGGCCCCTTGAAATGTTGGGGTCTCTTGCATCGGGGCCTCTTCCAGCGACGCTTGACTTGTGCCAAGAACAGCACAGTTGGCAGGACCTCGAGGGCTTCTCTTGACCAACCACCAACCCAGAGCAATGGTGGACCGGCCCTTTGTCAGTTGCATGAGCATCAAGGGGTGTGCCCCTCTAACTGGGGTGTCTGCAGGGGGTGGTCAAAAAAGTCAAGATGGCAGCCGTGACGGTGGAGCTCCAACGGCACTCCTGATTTGTTTTTACCAAACCCTGCAGACACCCCTACACTCTAGACACGCTTGCCAGTCTGTGTCTAGATGAGAGAGACCTCTTCAAATAAATAAGAAACGGGGCTGGAATTTGGAGGCTGAGTTTCAGGCGAGTCGGCCGCCTCCTCCAGCCTCCCGCAGGCCTTCCAAGGCAGCCTCGTCTTCGTCTTCGTGTCCTTCTGTTGTCCTGGCTCAGGTTAAGCCCGCTCTTTTTGAGGCCCCCAGCGCGAGGAGGCCAACCCCTGCTTGCTCACCTTTCTATTCCCACGTGGATTTTGCCGTTGTGAAAGGCGTGGAAAAAGCCCTGGATGAGGACAGACCACTGGAGGGCAAAGGCAGCGATCAGGAAATTGAAGGCCACACCGCCGAAGCTGTAGCGTTTCAGGAAGGTCATCAGAAAGCCAAAGCCGAGGAAAATCATGACGTGGACGTCTTGGAAGCCTGCAGAAGGGGACGGGCCAGGTCAGAGGGTGGGAACCAGGCCGGCTCGGGGCCCTCCAGGTGCAGAGGGGTTTCCGGGAGCTGGCTGAGCCGGGGCTGGCAAGTCAAATTTCTCCCACCTGCTCAGTTTTACCTCTTCAGCTGGTTCCAAGGTTGAAATGGACACAGGTTACATACGCATAATTGGGTGCAAAGAATGACCTCATTAGATCAGGCTGATAAGAGGGAATGAATGTGTGTATCAGCCGCGCAACGGAGTCTGTAAACAGATCGGCTGGTAAGATTATAACGCAGCCACCCCGATATGGGACTGCTCTCGGCTGCCAGGATGCAGACCCCATCTCCAGGCCAATCGCTCATTGGTGCTGTTCCCATGGGGCGGCGGGGGGGGGGCGGTTAATGGGCTGTGGGACATACCAGCTCCTGAGGTTTAAATTTAACCCTAAACTGATTGGTTTAAATGCAGTCAGCGTTCACAATTCATAATTGACCTTGTTAAGGAATTAACAGTGGCTGAGGCCAAACTATTCCTGGTGTGAAAATCAAAGTGGGATCTCTTTAACTGGGTGAGCAGAGCCCCAAATGGGAAACGAGGCTCTGTTTAGGTCAGGGGGGGTGATGCCAAGCCCCCCCCACTCTGCTGCTCAGGCCTGGGCTGCCTTAGCTATCCAGAAAAAGAGCGGCGGTCCTGGAGGACGATGGGGTGAAGATGCCACGCACAGGGCAGCCGCTGTGAAAAAGGGACTGAAACAAGAAATGCTGATGGTCGCCAAAGGGCAGCCGAAACGCTTCTCAGCGACAAACGGTCAGCCTGTTTGGGGCTCTTTAGCGTGAAAAAAAAAAAAGCAACTGAAGGAAGAAAGTGGATGGGGAAAATCTGTTTTCTTTCTCTCAAGCCAGCTGGCAAACAAAAGTTATTCTTACCCACGTGTAATTAACCCATGGAATCTTTTCCACAAGATCTGGCAGTGTCTTTATAAAGGGATCGGATAACTCTGGGGAGGACAGCCCTTGCAGACACGGCCTGGGCAAAGGGGAAGCCTCCGGCTCTTGCTGTCTGCCCCAAGAAGCAAAGCCCTGGACGGGGATGGCCCCTGGCCAGATCCAGCGGCTCCTTTAGCGTTCTGGTGCCTCCGAAGCCGCCAGGGCTGGGCCGGGGGGGAACCCGCCATGGGGAAAGAGCGGTAGGTCCTTCCAGGTGCTGATAGGACCCGCCGGCTCCCCCAGCTAGAAATACCGGACCCAAGGTGCTGGGCTGGGGCCTGCAGGCCAAGACCGCCTCTGGACGTCTGCCCCAAAAGGCAAAGGTTGGTATGGGGGGAGGAGAAGCCCCTGGGACAGCCATTTTGTGAGTGTGCTCGTGACCTGGTCAAGAAATGGGTCCATTGGCCCAACTTTTGCTGACTGATACCAATAACGTTAATGCGACTTTTCTGTCTTCCTGGGGCTGGTGGGTTTCAGGGACCGTGCCTTTTGAAGTATGTGATCAATGCACTCTACAGAAAGGCAGAAACGAGCCTGGATGACTCAGAAATCTAAGCTCTGGGGAGAAATTCTGGGGAGGAGGCTCTGGGCAGCCTTTGGGGGGCATGGCTCATCCGAGGCAGGAGGGACGATTTCCGAGAGAGAGGCGTTCTCCTGGCCCGCCGCCCCCTCCCGTGCTCCGGACTGTCCCTCCGGTCGGACCCCGCCCAGCCGCCGGGGCTTCCGCGCGCTCGGCAGGAGCTACTCACTGGGGTAGCGGGGGTAGAACTCGTTGTCCAGATGGCCTTTGCTCTGCAGCTGCATCTCCTCGGGCCACAGCTTGGGGCTGGTCTGGCTGTCATACCGGACGAACAACGCGAACAGGAGGACGGTCGAGAGCTGCAGGGACGCGCAGAGCAGGGGCAGCTTGACCCGCAAGTTGGTGGTGTGGCCCGACATTGCGGGAAGGGGCTGGGAGGACGAGAGGAGAGAAGGAGACTGCCCGCCGCCACAGGAAGAGGAGCCGCCCAGGGAAGCCCGGCCCGTTCCATGTTTGCTCACTCCTCGCCCCTGCCCGGGAGCCACCTGCTCCGGGGCGGAGCCGGGCTGGGGAAGAGCGGGCAGGTCGGGCCCCGCCGAGGTGAGGGAGGGCTTGCTCCTGCGGAAGGGCGGAAGGGCGTCCATCGGCGGGCAACAGGCTGCCCTGGGCGACCCAGAACCGTCCAGCCGCCTCGGGAGGAGCTGGATCCTGCAACCTGGTGACTGGGGCGCTTCCCCGTGGGCATTCCGCCTTGTTCTCTGCAGACCAAGTGGTCCTTTGGCAAAGCACTCAGGAAGGAAGGTTGCTCCAGGTGGCATCTGTCTGGTCGAGGCCATCGGTGTTGTGTGTGTGGGTGTGGGTGTGTGTGTGTGAGAGAGAGAGAGCAGGAGGCTCGCTCTCCAGTATGCTGCCAAGGGAGAAGAGCCTGAAGCCTCCTTTCAGACAACTGTAACACAACAGGTTGTCTCCCAGCTCGTCCATGGGGAGAAAGCAGTTTCAAAAGCTTCACTGCAGAAGGAACCTCTGCAGAGCTCCAAGCAGAAAGCCATGGTTTCCGAGCTAACCCTGGGTGTGGGCGATCCCTATGCAGCGCAGGAGCTCATGTTTGCACCAGTGGCGTTAGAAATGGCGGGAAGCTGTGACCGGCGTGCAAGAGAGCGAGAGTTGGGGCGAAGGAGAGAAACTTGATCCTGAGAATGGCTTAGAAGGGAGAGAAGAGGGGCAGGCAGGGCCAGAAGGCCCTTCCTTCACTGTCCCACCACCATAGAAGCAGGGGGGGGGGCTGGTTCGCATGGGGGGCCACCACACAGCAGTCTTCTGACATTGGCCTCCTTGGCTCCCGTCCCCACAAGCGCCCCCAGCCCTGACCCCGAGACCCTCCCTTGCTCCCCTAGCCAGGCGGTCCCACAGTGGCCCACTGGTGTTCCTGCCTTTTGCCCCAGATTGGAAAGCCAATTGCTCAGTTAATCGTTAAGCTTGCCGCGGGGGCCTGTTTATCTTTATTTCTCATCTGTGACAGCTTGTTTGAAGGTTTTGCAATCGCTCCTCATGGTGGGCTCTGCTCCTGGGATGCTCTGCCACCACCCCGAGGGCTTCAGCAGGTTTCCCCCCACACTTTCTGGGGCTTCTTTGGGTTCAAGCCACTAGTCCCAGGGCGGGGCTTAGCAAGGGCTCAGCCATTCCCAGTGGAATGGAAGAAGCAGGAGAAGCAGGCAGCGGGGGGGGGAGAATGTCCCTCTCCCCACAAATCGGACGCATTGGGGATGCCAGCAGGGGGTGTTTGGCAGAGGAGGCCAAGGTTCCTCGAGTCCGCACCAGTGTCCAGGGCTACTCAGGCCACATTCGTACCCACTGGGGTTGCAAAGCATGCATTATTGACGGATTGCATTTATTGGCTGCAGTTCCCCCTCCTTTTCTCTCTTTACTTTATCTCTGTCAGGAAGGGGAGCCTGAGAGTGGAAACTGGACCCCCAAGGAAGCTGGATGGCTGAGCTGGGATTTGAACCTGGGTGTGCAGGTGGCGTGACTCCCCTTTGAGGATCGCGGTCTTACCCGAGAGACTTCCCTCAGAAGAGGAGCTCCCAGCGAGCACTCCTCTGCAGGACCCGGGAACAAGCCGGCGAGGGCAAGTCAGACTGCTGAAGGTGGCAGTGAGGTCCTGCGGATGCCCCCGAAGAGAAAGGACCGCAGGAGAGCCAAGAGGAATATGGCCGCATACACAGGAGTGCCAGTGGGCATCAAAAGGGCCTCCCCCCCTTCTCTCCCCCAGCAGAAGACCCGTTTCTCCCCTCATGGCACTTCTCCAGCTACCGAGGGCTGCAAGCGTCTGCAGGATCCTTAGTCAAAGTGACAGAAGTGGGGTTCAACCCCACAACTCGCTTGGCTCAACTCCTTGGCTTCGCTCGGCAGACGACTCGCCGTCACAGCTTGACTACGTAAAAACCTTTATCGCAACAAGGAAGTAAGCCGAGAGAAAGAGCCCACTGCCAGGGCAAGGGTCTGATATCCCTCTTTATGTTTAAGCCCATTGCCCTTCCCGCAAATTAAGGGAGGCTGAGGCTTTAAGCCGAGGGGCTGTGGAAGGTTTACGTGGCTGCCGTCTTTGTCCCCCAAACCACCAGCTCTCAGCTTAACCCTCTCAGGGCAGGAAGGCCAAATTTCATCAAGTTAGCTCTTCAGAATGAGATACTGAAGCAGTTAATGATCAGAAAGTACCAATGTGTCTTTTAAAAAATCTGTATTATTTCAACAAGGATAAAAAACACAATGAATTGCAGTAACATCAGTAAGACAGAGGTCCTCATACGTTATGGTGCAGTGACCCCCTACAATCTCAAATAGGATCGATCTGTCTCATCACCAGATGAAAAACCTTATGAGGACTCATCTCAGAAGTTCAGGGATCTGCTCTAAATAATGCCATTGAATGAATTGAAACCCTTGAGAAAAGGCTGACAGAAAAGATCTTCCGTATAAAGATTTTGCAGAGGACTGAAGGCATGAGAAGAAAGAGCTTGATATGCATCTCAAGTTGGCACATGGATGCACGTGCGCTTGGAGAGATTTCTTTCCTCCCCATTTAACTCCCTCACCCTTTTTAATATATTGCTGAGGTGGCACAAAGTTAGATAACTGAAACCATTTAAAAGGCTTTATTAGTTAGAGACATCACTGCAGTCTTAAACTCACTGGCTACAGTTTTGCTTAGAAGTGGATTGACGCAACACATTTTAATGCACAGAGTCCTACTGAACTAAGAAAGACATATGACATACGTACGTATAAAAATGTGGGAGAAATTTCCATCTGTAAGCCACAATTATGCACATCAAATTCTATTTAAAGAGAGTCATTAAAATTTAAATTCTTCACTGCTTTCTTAAGCTTCCACATTTTCAATGCAATCGATCTGAGAAGGAAGCTCACATTTTCCCCGTTCTGCCTGTACCCTATCAGACATGCTTTTAATTTTATGTATTTATTTATCAAATTTGTCACTGCCCATCTCATTGAAAAGCGACTCTGGTGCTTTCCTTCTCCTTTACCTGGATAAGCCAGTTTGTCCAGACAGAACAGGGTAAATGGGGGGTTTTAACTTAGCTGTAATGCGTGTGAAGGTTTAAGAACGCTTCTCATTGATTGGACCAAACAGGCGAAGGGCCGTGCCTGGATATGTGTTTAGGAATAGGGCATCAAAACCAGACGGTGAGAAGAAAACGCTGCTCTGCATGAGAAAGATCTGGACGGGCGTGATGCGCTGTTCTTGAAAACAGGAGGGCTTCACAGCCACCGCCACGTTTCCACCCCCTGCAGCCCGTTCGCTTAAGGGAGCAGGCTTCGGGGCAGGGGAGCGCCACCCCTCCTTCCTCCTGCCACCAGGACGCCACCACAGCCTTCGTTGGGTGGGACCTCCTGCCAAGAGCTGTGACTGTCCCAGCAAACCAGGACAGCTCCTGGCTCTCGTGCTGCTCGCCACTGAGGCGGGGAAGGCCGCTCCGTGCCCTGGATCCCCTCGGTGCTGATTTAAAGGTCCCTAAAACCCAGATGCTTTCACCAGCGCTTCTGGCCTGGGAAGGGCCCAGAGGGAGGGGGAATGAGCCAGCGCGGGCCAAGGGGCTGAAGTGCACTCCCTCCCCAGCCTGCTGAAAGTGCAGGGGGAACAAGCCACCTTTTAACCAGGTATTCCCCAGGGCAGACATGGGGACCAAGTGACCGGGAAGCAGAGCAGTTGCTGGTCAATCATGTGGCAGTAGCCATGGAGGCCATGAGGCTGCCTCTGCAGAGCAGGATGGCCGCAGGACCCCATCAGACGAACAGCAGCAGATGATGGACTCGAATACAAGCAGCGGCTTGTTCCCTGTGGAGAGAACAAAGCGTCCCAGGCCTTGGCGCATCGTCACATGCTGGACCAGACCTCCAATCCGGCAGCCGGGACAGTGCAACAATGGCCCGATTCGCCGGGCCCCGCACAGTGGGGGTTGCGTGGTGGTGGGGGGCTCCTCCCGTTTGCCCCCTTGCAAGGTAGGCCCAGGATTTAAATGCCAGCCTGCCAGATGCAGAGAGGCAGAGCTTCCCAGGACTGGGGGAATCCCACTTCTCCCCAGGGGCCTTAAAGGGGCAAAGGAATTTCAAATCCTAGGGCTGTTCTGGAAAGAGCTACAGGCAAGCAGCGCCACTCTGGCCCAGTAAACGCACTCAGTATGCCTTAGGGGTTCTTCTTCTTTAGGGCAGCGAGAGGGAGCTGTGATCTTTAGGCATGAGATTTTTGCTAAATTTAATGCTGGAGACCTGCAACATCGGATGCGGCAAGACTTGAATCGGGTGGGCGCTATTTCACCAGCACGCTTTCTCCTGCTGGCCTGCTGCCAGCCCTTTGAGGTGGTCCAGACAAGGAACCAACACCACGACTGCTCACCCTACCTTTATTTGGAAAATGCAGTTCAGCGGGCAGATATGTTGGGGTCTGCACTTGGGGGCTGAGGAACTGGGAAGAGCCGCAAAGACGACAAAAGACTTGGAGGTGAAATCCTACGAAGGGTAGATAAAAGAACCTGAATGCTCCGCCCGAAGAAGAGCAGGCGAAGGGGAGGACTAACTGTCCGTAGTACTCGAGGGTGAGAGCCAGTTTGGTGTAGTGGTTAACACACCAGGCTACAACCAGGAGGCCGTGCATTCTGGTTCTGCCTGAGGCACAAAACCAGCCTTTTACTCAGTCCCCAAACGGCAAACCGCCAAGAAGACTGCAGGGAGAGTCCAGGCAGTTGCCAGGCGGCGACCCTGACTCAAAGGCACAGAAGCAAAAAGGGACTTGAGGGCAGGGCAAGATCCAATGGGCGGTCACTTTACAGAGGGGGATCCAAACTCAAAATACGAAGGGATTTTCTGTGAAGCAGTGGAACCGCCTGCCCCTCTGCCGTCCCCAGAGGTTCACAAACAGACACCTGCGTGGGGATCCTTCCCTTCCGACCCTATGGTTCTGTGCACACAGCCACGCAGGTTTTGTCACGCGTGCCCTCCCGCCCCCACCTGTGAATGCCTGGGCTTGAGGCAGCCACTG